TACTGTATATATATGTGTGTGTGTTTAAGTATAATCACCAATCACAATTGCTTAGTGTTTCTTAGTACCGTTTTCATCCATATTAAGTTTCTGATCCAAGAGTTAAATACATTTTGAGGTTTGAAGCAGTAAAATGAAATGCTCTAGGACAACTTGGAGTTGGCAAAATCACCTCGAAAGATTTTCCCGCAGATGATCATTCGAAACGCTGCTCTGAACCAGCTGTAAAAGAAAGCGTAGATGAATGGGTTCAGCATTGAATTGGACAGTGTGAGCCAGTTGAGGGCCTCAAACAGCGAAGTAGGTACGGGGTCTTTCTGAAAGTAAGGGGAGCTGGACAGGCAAATGAAGAAGGGCAACCAGCAGAGAAGGAAAACCCCCATGACAGTAGCCAGAGTCTTCGTGGCCTTTCTTTCCTTCCTACTCACAGCTGCGCCGCTCTTGGTTGTGTTGTGGATGATCCTGGCCTGTCTCTGCGCAACAATCAATATCTTCAAGTAGATGCAGAGCATTATGACCACCGGCATATAAAATGAAAAAAAAGGCGAAAAACTGGTTACAACAAAAATGTGGGCGAAACACTCCTCCCCACATTCTTGACTGTGCATTTCAACGACCAAGTAAATGATTCCAATGATTGCGGACAGAGACCAGCAGAACGTGACCATGATCAGAACGACACGTTGGTTGATCTTAGACCTGTACGTGAGAGGCTGACACACCGCGTAGTATCGGTCTACAGAAATACAGCACAGGTTCAAAATGGAGCAGGTGCTCAGCGATACGTCGAAACTGCCTCGCACCTGGCACGCCAAGTTGCCGCTGTAGGAGCAGGAGTTGACAAACAGAACCATCGTGAACGGAAAAACCAATAACCCTACAAGCAGGTCCGCCACCGCCAGAGATAGGATGAGGGCGTTTGTTGGAGTATGCAGCTGTTTGAAGTAAAATATGGAGATTATGACGAGAAGATTGCCACATACTGTGATAAATGACACTATACCAAGGAAAACGTACAGTAACAGGCAGAGAACAGATGGTTCAGAGTTGTACGCAGCAGAGCAAGGGTTCATGTCAGCCACCTTGGATCCGTTCATGTTACCTTCCGAGGCCATGTTAGTAAATACAATTTGATAGTGAAACAATAAGACATTTCAGTTCAAAGCGAAACAAATACATATGTCTGCCCAAACCTGTCGAAAATATTGCGCTAAACCTTTACTTGGTTCCGTGCAAACCTTTACTTCCCGTCTGATACACTCATATCGTACAAACCTTTACTTCCCGTCTGATACACTCGTCGTATCACGCCGCAGAGACAACTTTGACTTCACACACCAAAACAGCAGTCCTTGGTTCCGTGTCTCTCCATTTATTCCATTCTCCTTTCAGCCTCGTCCAATCATAAGTGAGAGTTTAATTGTACAGCTACCCAACTGAGTCTGCGCGCAACGTGTGTGTGTTGTCTTGACCAGTTATTTAAAATATTGACATATTTATTATTAGCTATTATTGTTGGACATTTTTACATGTAGAGGGTTTTGATTAACAAACAAAAGTAAACAAACAAACAGAGGCAGAAAGAAGGAAAATAAAAGGAAATAAAGAAACGATAAAACTTTAAAAAAGAAAAAAAAAATTAAAATAAGACAGACTTCCAGCAGCAGCCAAGCTCACCATATTAGACACTAGTTTCTTAGACCAAGGTACAATTTTTATTTATTTATTTTTCTGTCTCGGGCCTAGTTTTGGTTGTATTTTTGTTTTCCCCAGGCCTCGATTTCAGTTTATTTCTTCATGTACATTCTGTGAAAGTTGAAGAGTTCCGGCAACTGGACATAAAATTTTCTCAAAAAGTAGTAGTTAAAGGTTGCAATATCTGTAATTTCTTATAAGATTTGTTTTGTTTTTTTAAAAGCTCACTCACTTGTAGTACGTTTGTGTGTGTTTTTGTTTTGTATATTATGAAAACCTTTTGTTTTTTAACAGGGTTGTGATAGTTAGCTGGCTAATAATGATTTTCTTTTGCTATGTTAGCGAACTGGCTAGTAATCCGTTTTGGTTTTCCTTGGTTTTGTTAGCTAACTGGCTAACACTGTATTTTCATAAACGTATGACTTTATCCTTGTATACTTATGACTTTATTTTTTAGAAACATATGATTGTATATTTGCTAATATACGACTTTCAACGTAAGATCAACAGTGATTTGATCCTCGTAAACTTACATCTTCATTCGAGTGATTTTTTTTTTTTTTAATTCTTTAATGTCCCCTTAAACAAGACATTTTTTCATAAATCTGCAGCTTAACTTTCTCTTTTTACTCAATCTAGCCCTTATATGCAACTAATATATTTATGACCATAAGCTGGGTAAAAGTCCAGGGCAAACTATGGCCCGGGGGGCGATATGCGGCCCGTTCAACTTTTTAATCCGGCCCGCCAAACTTGTTCAAATTACATTATTGATTTATATTATCATTATATTTCTGCCTTTTCCCTGCAATACCCGCATTTCCCCATTGAATGGTGTAGTACCGGCATAAAGCATTTGAGCCTTTATGCATGACTTACATGCCATGTGTTTTAGTTCACACGAACGCTCCATCTGTCTGCTCCTGACCCGGCCCCCCTGTTCAATTTTAGGACCCGTCTGGTATAACATATAATGTTGTTGCATGATATAAGTTGCATCCATACATAATACACAGCTTTGATGTACCTGAGAAAACACAAGGACTTAACTTAATGAAAAAGTGTCTCCTCAAATTTGTGTTTAAAACAGTGAATATTTGTGTACTCGTTTTTCTGAGACTAGTATCTTGAGTTGTACTACCCAGTGATGTATATTTAACTTTGAAGTTTTAAAGTTGTATGAAGAATGAACTTCTTAATTATGTCTCCAGTTAAATGGCGACAACAACCCTTCAATTAGAGGTGCAAATGTTCGGTGTGACTTACACACACACACACACACCACAGACCTCATTATACCCTTCCACTTTATCACACCTTTTTAGCATTGGGACATTTTGTTTTCCAGTGATAACAAACCCTAACGACTTGACAGCTCCTAATGAGTTGAACAACGGAACAAAACACGTCAACAAGTCGTAAACAAGAAAGCTGAGAAAAGTATTTTGCATGGGAATATGTTTTGGTTTTTTTTTTTTTATCTATGAATACTTCAGTTGTTCCTCTTGTGTGTTAATTACTGGTTCAGTCTGTGCGGAACGCTTTTGTTTGCATCATTTTGTTTGTTTTGTTAGGTGGTCATGAGCCGCAGGTGTCCCTGTTCTGCGTTGTGTAGTAGTTTAAATAAGTTGACGCACAAATAATGGGAAAACAAAGATGTTTTTGGTGTTGCAAAATATTAAAATATGATACCTAATGTTTTTTTTAAAGATTAAACAAGACACATTTTCTGATATTATTATATGTGTCTTTATATATTGCGCCATAGAAATAATACACAAATTATTTTAGTAAAATCCAATACAGTGCACCTTCAACACTTAAAGTAATTGGATTTTTTTTTTTTTTCTCAGTTATCGGGAATAGCTTTCCAATGCATTAAGATCGATCACTCATTAAGAAATGTTTTTTTTAAATGATGTAAAGCTATAATATGTATTTATCCATGTACTTGTAGGTATAATTAAAAATATATTTTTTATATACAGACTATAGGTATAAATTAAGGACTTGATATATGGAGGTTCTCGGTTTATGACGTCACTGTTATGCGCAAGACAGCTTTGTTTACATTTGCCTGTTGCGCACCATACATTAGGTTGTGCAAATGTTTTCGTTTGTGTCAGGTTACCACTGTGTTAACGTCGCCGAGTGACATAGGTACAACCGTGCGAATTCTGCCTTACGTCGACTTAAGTCAAGGACCTCCCCCTGTGCGCCCAAATTAGGAGACAGGAACTAGTTTGCCACTGCGTCACTTCCTGCTTCCTTTTGATTAGAATTCCATCCCATCATATCAAGTCTTTCAAAGGGTGATCTTTCTGTGCGCTAACACTAATCCTGCTAACATCGGACGACCCTATCGTATGTTACTAGTACCAGGTTTTTTATTCCCTCTGTCCTGACTATTTTTGTATCATGCGTTGCGGGAAACTTGTTTGACTGAGTTTGAATTACGTAACTAATTCATTCAAGTAATGATGGTGCACTAAATATAGTTACATTTATCAGCGTAATGTGAATGTGTTAACAAATACTTGTCTACTGTCTACTCTAGGTTAACATAAAAATGATGGTACAACATGATGTTATCTGTCTATCTATAATATCTGTCTGTCTGTCTATCTCTCTATAGCACGTGTCAAACTCAAGGCCCGGGGGCCCAAATGTGGCTCGCCAAATCATTTTGTCCGGCCCACAGAAGTTTAAAAAGTATTTAGTATTATGCCTTATATTTTCGGTTTCGTGCCTGGCCTTCAGTTGGAACAACGTGGTTGTTTGCTTTTATTTCACTTTTCAATTTAGAAAAAAAAAGACAGTCTTGGGTGTGGTCCAGCCATTTTGTTAAACGCAGGAATGTAACTTCCCCATCAATTTATTTGTTTTAAATGCCATTTCAAATGTGTGCCATAGGGCACATTTCCAGGAGTCATTCAGCGGGCAATCCCCGTGTGACTTCCAGTAAAGAGCGAGAAACTGGACTGACGAGAAGAAGAGCAACACGATACATCGCTGTGTATTTTATATTTGTCATAACAAACGCAGTGTGAAAGGGACTACATGCCTGATGGCTGTGTCCTTTAAAAAATGTTTTTGTTCAGTGTAAGTCTAATGCTTTATTGTATTGTATGACTGACAGTTGAATCATATACGTAAAATAATAAGATGTGAGCGTTACAGACGGGCTAGATCAGATCGGATAAAATGCTTTTATTGTTTCCTGCGCCATCTATTGGGGAAACGTGGGCATTGCAGGGAAAAGGCAGAAGTATAAATGAATTATATAATTTGGTAAAGTTTGGCAGGACGGATTAAAAAGCTGAACGGGCCGCATCCGGTCCCCGGGCCTTAGTTTGCCCATGCCTGGGCTTAGAGAAAGTGTGAGCATACCTTTGTTATTTTGTGTCGGGGCGGGGTTACCACATACAGACACAAACGACTATTCACGCTCACATTCATAACTCTGGTCAATTTAGAGTGGCACGTAATCCTCTAATTGAGTGGGACGAAATCCAACGCACACACGTAGAGAACACGCAAACTCACTTGCTTTAAAGCAGTGGTTCTCAATTTTTAATTTCTGTCATGCCCCCCCCTTTGGGGACCGAAATGTTTTCACACTGAAAGTTTTTAGCCGCCGGCTTAATTGAACATGGGGGTCGGGTCAGGAGCAGATAGATGGAGCGTTCATGTAAACTAAGATAAATGACATGTAAAAGTCATGCATAAATGCTAATATGCTTTTCTGTGTCAGATTGAAAAACCAAACGGGCCGCATCCGGCCCCCGGTCCGTAGTTTGCCCATGCCTGCAGTAGCCTAACAATCCAGATTACCATGCTTCAACACTGTACCCTTTAAGCAATGGAAGTCAAGTGAAGAAATCAGTACTCATCAGTGGAAGTCAAGTAAAAAAAACAGTACTCCACACCAGACTGTGACACCATTATCTGTGTGAGTGTAAAAAAAAAAAAAAAAATTTTTTTAACAACGATATCCTGGTTAATCAACAGGTGCGAGAGAATGCTACTGAACTCGCCGGGCGAGGATGTGACTCAGATAAAGCGTTTGAGGAAGCTAAAGTCTTTTCTCAGCTGCCTCGAACCATTACAGACAGAGAAGCCACCATGATCTCCTGACACGTTACCTTTCCGCGGCAGCTAAAGACAACAACAGGTAAATGAACGTCAATAATGAAATTCTTGTTCGTTGCTTAGCTTATCCAACTGATTTAATTTCATCAAAAATGTCAAATTGAATTTAAAAAAAAAACGGTAAAATCTTTTTTAATGCGCTGGCTAGTGTAAAGATGAGTGAATTTTGGCACGGGTTTTAGTTGAACCTCATTGAAATGTACTGGCACTGGACACTGAGGCACTTTCACTTTCCCCTTGGTTCGTTGTGGTGGAGTTCGCAGGTCTTTATGGTGTACATGTATACATGGTGACTTTTCTCTTTAGTGTTAAGATGGTAACAGCGACTTCTAACAGGATGAGAATACGTTCAATTTCACGTGCACGGAGGTGTTTGTTGATAGTGCGTGTTTGTCACAGCACGTTGACTTTTTTTTGTTTTTTAATTCAACTAAAATTAAGACCTGCACTTGCATATGGATTACAGCCAGGGAATCTATATGGACTTTCCACTGTGACGTCTCACTGACTGACGTTTAATTGGAGAAGAATACATACGATTATAATTACTCTTCTCTAAAATTACAATCAAGGGGGCGGGCGGGAATGCCACTTCTTCTTTGATATTGTTACTGCTTAAGTGTTTTATACATTGAATTATTTATTATTACATATTTTTATATGGTTCAATCAAAATGTTCTAAGTGTAAACCCGTCTGCAAGCTGGGTTTCTACCAGAAAGTTACTCCTTTTTTTGAATTGTGGCCATCGGGACCTGCTTCTTCAATGTCAAATATTCTTTCAGTTTTGGGAAACTGGAAAAGAAAATTAGCTAATATTTAAAATTTGGGAAACAAGAAAAAATGTTTTAGCTAATATTTAAAAATTGGGAAACAAGAAAAAAAATTTAGCTAATATTTAAAATTTGGGAAACAAGTAAAAAGAATTTAGCAAATTTTTTTAAATTTTTGTTCCAAAATTTTTTGTTTGCTTTAATTATCAAATTGATCATTTTTGAGGACATTAGAGAAATGACCATAACTAGATCTAGTCTGAAAAGCAAATGGGTTCCACTTCACTGGGAGCATATTTGAATCGTTTTGACATAGTGCTAGGTCAGTAGATTAACGTAGCAAGCTGTCGATTGTTAACATTGAAGATAATTGTTGGACACAAGTAGAGGTGATCTGTTGGTGGGTCAACAATGTAAAATAACTTTCTTTTCTTTTTTTACATTAGGGATGGGGGTGCTTAAGGCAGTGGGGTACGCAGTTTCTCTTCTGGCTATATACTATGGTTTGGTGCATCGAGGATACAGAGAGACTCTTAATGCGTTCCTAAAGGTAAGATTAGTGATTATAATCTATCTTTACAAGTTCACCCCTTTCACCTCTTTTTAAATGTAAATAAAAGAATTAATACAACTATATTACATATGATGGATGATGGAAGATGGATGCCCCTAAAAAGTATATGTAATGAAATATAACTTTCTTCTAGGTACAATTCACTCAATGTGAAATCTGAGCCTGTTTAGTTGAACACAACCCAGAGTATACTTGCAGGAATTGAAGAGACACGCCAACAGTTTTTTTTTCAACCGGGATGTCTGTGTTTTTTTTCCCCTGGTTTTTATTCGACATCTACTCCCATCTAGTGGAAAGTGTCAAAATATTCTTCATGTAACCCTTTTTTTAGTATGCGTTATTTAATCATATGTAAAATTAACTTTCCCGTACGTATGTGAAGTTTTTTTTTTAAAAGCGACAATGAACAGTCCTTGATTTTACACCCGCTCTTCACCTCCAGGATCTGATGGGAACGAACCCGTCACAGGTTACCGTCAGAGAAAAGAGAGCGGGTGAGTCACATCCTAATGGCATCAACTCACAGTATTACCTTGTATTATTACCTTGTAGTTATTATAATTACCTTGTAGCCCCTGATTATTGCAGTACCTACAGTGTACAGTAGTTTGCTATCAGAGTGACAATACTAAGAGCTCGTCACTGTCACAGTTCGATGTGGTTTAACTCAGAATGAAAATATTTGAAAACAGCAGTTTGTCCATTATATGTTTAATTACTTTTTCGATGTGGTTTAACTCAGAATGAAAACATTTGAAAACAGCAGTTTGTCCATTAATAATTTTAGGTCGCGACCCTTAGGTGGGTCGTAAGAGATTTTTTTTTTTTTTTTTTTTGGGTCGTCTCGCATCATGTTTCCCAGGAGTTTATGAATATTGTCTATTGACTTGGGTCACGAAGGTTTGTGACTTTTAAAATATGGGTCACCAGAAAATCAGGTCTAGGTGTATTTTTGTCTAACATTTCTACATTTTGCAACGTGGACACATTTCAAACTCTTCACGCAATTGGACACCAAATCGAGTTCTCACTACCGGTTGCTCAAGTTTTTTTTTTTTTTTTTTTTTTTTTTTTTTGTGCCAAATGAGGAAGTGTCAAACATGTTAGGAATGATGTTTTTTTTTTTGTTTTTTAATATTATTTTTAATATTATTTTCAGATACAGACACAGTGGCCATCGATTTGATCATTGATCTGCAGATCCCGGCACACGTCCTTTTGACGAATGACGTGAATTATTTCAGAAATCTTTTGAGAGGTCTCCCCCTTCCCTACAACATCAACGAGTCCGTAACTGTGATCGACGTGGATCTGACCACAGGTGAGAACTGATTCATGGCGGGGATATAGGCGTCAGTTATTAGCTTTTGGTAAATCTTACCAAAAGTGTTTACTCCGGACTTTGAACTTGGATCATGCAAATGTGAACCGTGTATAAATGTCCACGCAGTGTGCGAACCGAACTCAAGTGAAGATCTTCGGTGTCAGTGTGAGGAGACCTTCGCCTGGTCCTGCGACAAGTGTCAAACCTACGGTTCGTGCTTCAACGCCACCAGTATTAATGGCTCCTGTGACTGCATCAATGCACTTCCTCCAACGGGAGACCTGTGTGAACCGATTCCGAGTAAGCTTCGCCGTGTTGTCCCACAGGGTTTTTTTTTTTTTAATGGCGTTAACAAGGAAATCATGATTAAAAACAATGTGTTTTATCTTGTTCTTCTGCAGATATCACTTGTGTAACAGCTCCAGGTATGAGAAATATTTTCTCTTTTTTTTTTTTCTCTCCTCACATTAGAGTTCCTTACAGTCCTTAATCAGACTGCAATTCCTTGTGAAAAAAAAAATCTTATTGGTCAAAATGTTATTCTGATATTCATTAGTACATTATTTGTGTATGTTATATACATATTATATTATATTACGTAATAATATAATATAGATAATATTATAATATGTTGTATATATTACTAGCATATTAGCATTAGCATATTATATTACTCTCATCAATGATGGACATACCAAGAAAACACATGTATTTTACCATAATAAAAGTCATTACTATGTATTGTTAGTCAAATGAATGCATTTTCATTCATTTTTGAGAAACCTTTATGCTTTTTTTTTTTCCAGAGACAACACCATCACCGCCATCACCAAATGGTATAATCTGCTCCATGTCTGGCTGTTTAAAATGTTGGTGTCTAAGCTGCGTTAAAATTTTCTCTCCCATTTCTCTCAACAGATACGGTGGTCTCTGACCTGATAGTCGACATTCACATCCCGCTCTCCCTCCTCGAGAGTGCTCACCTTGATAACATACGTCTTGTTTTGAATAGCATTGCTTTCCCCTTCTCAGTCAATGACTTTGTAAAGGTGCTCGACGTAAATTTAACCACAGGTCAGTTGTAACTTCTGCATTTCCTGCCTCTTATCGATCACCTACTGATTTGCTGTGCCGCTTGACCGAAAGCGCGTGTTCATTTACGTCTACGCAGCGTGTTCCCCGGACTCGGCTGAAGGTTTTCGGTGTCAGTGCGAGGAGCAGTTCGCCTGGTCCTGTGACCTGTGTCAAACCTACGGCGTGTGCGGCAACAGTACGAGAAGCAATGACAGCTGCGGATGCATCAATGCACTTCCTACCAAAGATCTGTGTGAACCAATTACAAGTAAGCAATACACTGTATAGTCCATTATTAGATTATTATATCATTAGCTCATTATTATATCATTAGCAATCATGCTTACCCTAGCTGAAATGAGCGTAGAAATGTAGTGTAGTGGTGCGTAGTGTTATTAGAACATCTCGCAATATCTGAAATGAGCGTAGAAATGTAGTGTAGCGGTGCATAGTGTTGTTAGAACATCTCGCAATAAGACGTGAGCGTGTATTTAGGGAACGCGATATTTACTGGAGAATGATGTTTATCGGTTGATGAAGCGGTTTTGTTAAGCTAGGCCAGGGTTACTGGACCTGTGCACAGAGCTACGGCCGGATGTAGGGGCGTGGTATGGAAATCCCACGTTGACTGGGATGCACAAACGAAACGCATTTTTTCCGTACCTACGTCAGTTTCTGGATTTTTGCGTACTCCCTTTTTCACGATGAAATCTACGCCCGTTTAGCACATCAGGCCCCAGGTTTTATACTAAGTAAATTGAGTAAGTTGAGATGGTTTTTTTTTTTTTTTGGTGGTGTTTTTTGGTGATTTTTCTAATGTTAAATATTTGGCATGGCTTTAAATGTGATCTTTATTTTTATCCTTGACTTGTGAACTGTTTGTCTACAGGTATAACTCCATGTCCAACCTCAACCCCTTCTGGTAGGTTTGAAAGTTTTTACTTTCCATCGCACTTACACTCATTTAAGATAGAGTTAAAGTTTGTATGAGACGAGCGTAATCAAAACAATGTCGAGGAAAAGAAAAAATCCGATTTAGCAAACACGGAATGAAAGCACAAAATGACTGTTTGCAAATGGGTGTTTTCAGGCACAACAACAACTACTGCTTCACCCACAACAACAACTACATCACTCACAACAACAACAACAACTACTGCTTCACCCACAACAACAACTACGTTATCTACTACTACGACCACGATAAGGACAAAAAGCACAGCACCATTTGTGCCATCAACGGCCCCACCAGAAGGTATTGCATGACGAATGGAGTAGATTGAAGTAGATATTTACTGTGTTTCTGATGGACGTGTACTCTCCTTTAATATCTCTTATCGCAGTAATGGAAGACTCTATATACATGGATATTCAGTATTCACCTGAATACAACAATCCAGAAAATGCAGTACACCAACAAGTTTTGGAAACGGTGAGTATTCCGATTTTCTCTGAGCCCTGTCCATTTTTTTAATCATTAAATGTGTGCAGTAGGAGTCATTTTAACGTGAGATACTGATATCTTTGATCCAACAGATTGAGACCAACAGCAAGGCGAACATTAAAACATTTAAGTCAGCGAAGATCGTACAATTCAGGTATGTTCATTTGCATACATTTTACATATATTACTGTTATCAAAGGTTGACTTACCAAAGAAGTATATTTTTTTCCCTGAATTTTAACCTTAAAATTATTTTATTTCAATTTATAATTTAATTTTTAATGTATTATTATTCTAATTTATCATGTATTTTTGGAGACTTTTCCAGGAAATTATTAGTACAGTATTGTACTTTTATCAATTGTTGATGTACCAAAAAACTATATATATATTAAATTTTTTAATGTATATTATACATATATAAAAATCTTCATTGCTATGCATGTAAGCTAAATGGGTGCATTCTTAGTCATTTTTGAGAAACTTTTATCTTTGTAAACTTTTCTAGGAAATGATTAGTACAGTATGATACTGTTATGAGTGGTTGACATACAAAAATGTATATTTTTCTTCTAAAGTTTAACCACAAAAAAGGGCATTGCATATGTATTTTAAGGCATGTGGGTGCATTTCTATTTATTTTTGAGAAACTTTTTTCAGGAAATTATCAGTGTAGCACATTACTGTTATCAATGATTTTTTTGTTCATCTGTTCATTTTTTTGGTGACATTTAGCTGTACAGTGAAGCGTTCAAACAATCTCCAGGCACAAAAAGAGAAAACACAGGTTCATGGCAGAGGCCCTCGCTGAACAGCAGCAACAACATATACTTATCCTGGTTCTCTTAAAATAAACCTTGGTTTGGTTCTGTGAATACGGTGTTTTAAAATTAATACGTTTCTTTCTCGCAGGAAGGGGAGCACTGTTGTAGATTACACTATCGAAGCGGATACATTACCAGAGACAGAGCGTCAAGCACTGGAGGAAGGAATATTTACACAACTGGCAGAAAGCTACCCAATGATATATCAGAGTAAGTCGGTTCATTTTCATCTGTAAAATGTCACATGATCGATAGCATCGAGGTCAACATTTTTACCTTTTTTTTTTTTTTTTCAATCTTTTTTTCAGGTTCCACGTTCTTACCATTTCAACGTCCCTTTTTGGGAAGACCTGTTACTCTGACCTGTGGTCCAATACCATTGGTCCTAGGATTTACGGGTAGTTGGACCACCGAGTGGAGACGTAACAAGACGCTGATACTTGAAGACAGTGAACACCAAATCACAAAACACAGCAACAGTTCGACTTTAAAAGTGAACCGGTTTTTCATCACAGACACGGGTAATTTGTTCAACATGTTCAATGTATATGTCAAGTTAATCTAATCTAATCTAATCGTGTTACATTAATGCAAAAGCATAAGTGCCACAAAACATTTAGTGAGCGTATACAGTAGTACACTGATCTTTGACCTTTTATGGCATGTGACCCCATTATGACATCACAGAATTCTGGTGACTGATTTGTTTTAATCATGTTCTGTTAGACTGTGTTGCAAATACAGAGTAGCCAGATTAGTACGTGAGGTCATGACCCCTAGGTTGAAAGAGTTATTCTACCAAATTGCAGTTGTTGTTTTTTTTCACTAGATGGTGCTGTTTGCCAGTATCTGTGGTAACAATAACTTATTAGCAACTGTTATGAATGAAATTAATATATATATATATATATTTGAATTGCAATTTCAGGAGACTATGAGTGCAGGCTGAAAGAGAAACACATTTTCCGCCAGATATCAAACGGAATTCTCTCTGCCAAACGTACGCCCGACATTCAGGTGACACCTGTGCGACAAAAGGTGATGTGTGAGCCTGGGAAGACCGTGTCACTGGAGTGTAGTGTCAAAAGTCCCTACAAGGTCAAGTTTAAAGACCTTCCTGTAGGTAAGGATTTCGAACAATAACAACGTACAAATTGAATCGCATTTTACATGTGTTAGAAAAGTTATAAAGTATTTGAAGAAAAAAAAATCCCTGAGAGAAGGTGGGGGCAAATATTCCTAAATTTCTGGTTCGATTCATTTCTTTTAGTCAAGAAAAAAAAAGTATTTAAATCTATTTGAAATATTTCTAAATAACATTTATATATATTTTTATTTATTTTTTCACCATGGGATGTAAATGTTTGTTCTCTTATTATTAGTGCATTAACTTGTTGTTTCTATGTCTTTTTTGTGTCCAGAGCCAGGACTTTCGATCAAGCATGTACACACGGTTGGTGCAAACTGCTTGACCTCAACCGTGAAATTTGTTTGTCAAGAAGTCACTTATCCAACCCTATTCAACAAGACCATAACGCTTGATCTCGTCAAAGGGTGTAAGTGTAAATCCAACATGTACACAGCCTTCAATACACACCTCCTTAAATTACTGTATGCACTCACGTCCAAGCTCGTTTCCTTGTTCCTTTAGCCTTTCTTTGCGTCGGCAACGATGATTATGGAGTTGGAGACTTGGGCGACAGGGCTTTTGTTTCATGCAAAGAAAACGAGGTGGGAGAAAAAATAGCAGAGTGCCAGAAAAATGGAAGCTGGATCATTGTAGAAGACGACTGCGTCCTGAAACCCATTCAAGAGCTGCTTGATCAATCGGAGGTGAGTGTCTGTGCCAGCATGTACAGCAACAGCACCAGGGCTGAAAATGTCACGTTAGATAATATGGCAATAAAACTATTTAGAGTGAAATAAAATTGAAAAATATACTTTTATTATAATTATTTTTTTTAATGTAAATGTGAATTTATACAGTGGAACAGAAAGTGAGCAGAGCTTTTCCATCAATAGTTAACTGTGAATTTCTCTCTTTGACAGCATTTGAATAACAATTCACTGCCTGAATTCCTGGAGGAACTCAGCATCACTACTGTCACCTTTAGAAAGGAAGTGGTTGAATCCCCAAACAACATTGATTCCATTGTTAGTATCCTCGACAATGTTGCCAACATTGTACAATCTAAGAATATTGAAATAGGGCAACCTTTAATGGAGGTATGTACCATGCATGTTTTGTATGATTGTACAGTTTGAATACATGATATGTATTTTACCGTGTGGAAATGTTGAAAAAAATGTGAGTAAATCAACCAGATTTATCTGATGTGATACATCCCCCATTTTAAAGATCGATCAAATCTAATCTAATTATATTGTAATCCCAATATAAAATGGAAAGCACATAATGTATAATCTAAATCACTGTTTCTCAAAGACTGGGTTGCGACTCCCAGGTGGGTCGCAAGAGTTTTTATTTTTGGGGTCGTCTAGCATCATGAGTTTACGAATAATGTCTACTGATTTATGACGCAAAAGTTTGTGAATTTTAAAATGTGTGTCCCCAGAAAATACGTTTGGGAAACACTGATCTAAATTTCTACTTTCCTTTGAATCCAGGACATCCTTGAGACTGCCGGTGTCCTCACCACGGATGAAGCAAGGGAGTCCTGGGAGACTATTAACAGCGATATGTCAGCTAACAGCTCGCTACGAGCAAGTAACCGCACCTTCAACGGCTCCAGCTCATTTTTGCGTTCACTCGAGCTCATCACGAGTCACCTCAACAATCAGTCTTTCAATATTGAAACCCCTTTTATTACCCTAAATAAGACAACTTTCACGGACTCATTGATGGAGACGTTTAGTGCCAACTCCAGCTCTTCAGTGGGAGTATACATACCTGAGGCATCCGGCGGTGTCAAAGAAATCACGATCATCACCTTTTCCTCACTGGATAATGTTCTCCCTGCGAGAGACAAAGACAACACGTCTTCCAACGTCATTAACGGCGATGTCGTGCTCATCCAGTCACAAGGCAGTATCGATAACATTTCCCTCACATTTGATGTCTTCAATAACACTCTAAATGCACCTCAGTGTGTTTACTGGAACTTCAGTCTTTTCAATGGTCTCGGGGGCTGGGACGACCAGGGCTGCAAGTTGACGTACGACATCAACGACACCGTCACTTGTACCTGCAACCACTTGACCTCATTCTCCATTCTGATGTCACCCATCACCATAGACCTCCCTGCCTTGGACTACATAACCTACATAGGAGTGGGCATTTCCATGCTCTCCCTGGTGATATGTCTCATCATCGAGGCCATCATCTGGAGGAAGATCAGAGGAAATAACACCGCTTACCTTCGCCACGTGTCCATCGTTAACATCGCAGTGTCGCTCCTGATTGCCAACATATGGTTCATTATCGGAGCAGCCATCTCGGATTCCGACGTCAGGAACCCTCCGGCGTGCACAGCCGCTACCTTTTTCATCCATCTGTTCTACCTCGCCCTGTTTTTCTGGATGCTAGCGTCAGCCCTGCTCTTACTCTACCGCATAGTCAGCGACTTTGGAGGGAGCCTGTCTAAAGCATCTCTGCTGGCTATCGGCTTCGTTTTAGGATATGGCGTCCCTCTCCTGATTGCCATAATCACCATAGCTGTCACTGCGCCAGTGGACACGTACACTAGAGAGAGTGGCGTTTGCTGGCTCAACTGGAACAAGTCCAAAGCCCTACTGGCGTTTGTAATCCCCGCTCTGCTCATAGTGGCGATCAACTTCATCATCCTGCTCTTGGTGCTGTATAAAATGTTGAGAAGAAGAGCAGTGCCAGACGCCGCCCATCCTGCTGAGAGGAACGCCCTAGTGGTCATCGCAAGGACTCTGGCCTTCCTCACACCGTTCTTTGGATTGACATGGGGTCTGGGTGTTGGAACGATGACAAATCCAAACAACATAGGAATCCATATTTCATTTGCATTCTTCAATTCCCTGCAGGTACAAACACGGAGGATTAGCAGATGATGTAATTACACTTGTTCTCTGGATTGTTAATCGTATCTAATTGATTTTTATGTGTCTACGTAGGGTTTCTTCATATTGGTATTCGGAACACTGCTGGACAAACAGGTACGTCTGACTCACTGGTCTATGGAAGGTCTACTGTTCAGTACAAAGTACACATTGTTCGTTATTGTTATTGTTCCGTTACCTATCCCTATTTATACCTTCTACGTGCAGCTCATTTGTTTAAATATTCATATGTCAGATGGGATTCATGTGACTAAGACTAAGTCTGTGTGGTATTGACTCAAAAGTATTAGAACATTTTTTATACATATATAATGTATATTATATAAGTATATATATATAATATATATAGTATATATGTACAAATTCATATATACATCTATATACGTATATGTATGTGTACATATATACGTATATATATACATATACACATATATATATACATACATATACACATATATACATATATACAGTATATACACATATACATATATACACACATATATATACA